GAGATGGGGAGCGCTTGCTATCTTTCCTCATTTCATGTTGTTCACCTGCCTGATTAACGTTCCGCATGACATCTCGTTTTTATACACTGACTCAAGGTACTGTTTTTACACTTGTCGTACTGTAACTTTTGGTTAATTATGTGATTGTGAAGGGATTCTCTATGATTTTAGACATGTATATTGAATTACTCTGACTTGACCTAGCAAATTCAGGACTGTTTGTAAGGTTCCTATGATAAGATTGAAACCTATTCTTACATATGGAAACAGAGACAAAAACTCATCAATGTACCGGATCACATTACTATACGATCTTTCAACGAGCGATCTTACCGCGATTTTTACTACAAATGACCTTACAGTTAACGAGCGACTTTTAATGTAATGTATTAAGAAATTTTGTATTTTTCACCCATTGAGGATGGCTCAATGCGGAGCCGAAACGTTTGGGTGCTAATTTTTATTCTAAATATACTTGATATCACGGCGGCACTAACTCCATGCAAGGCTCACTAGCCCTTTTTTTGATACTTTGTTTAATTATTAAATCTAATACTTTTTAATTATTATAGTAATTTAAGTGAGGAAATAGGCTCCCGAAAATAAATTAAACATAATAAAGTAAAGGCCTATGGGAGCCAACACGGATGTTGGTGCGTAATAATTTTTACAATAGCTATAGGTATTGTATAGTGTTTTGAAAAGCTCTCAGTACCAGCTATTAGATTCTGGAATCAAAAATAAAAGTAATTCCATTTGAAAACATCAATGTATCCTTGACCTAATCTTGGCGACGCTAATACCCAAAGTTAAACTGATTAGATCAGTTAAAAATAGATCTTTTTAAATCCTACAACTTTTGTCTAAAACATTTTACTGTCAATCCATCAGAAGTATTTGAAAAATCATGGTGACTGATTCGTGTAACGCTCTATTATTATATTAGCTTCAATTCGGGAGAACATAAATCTCGGTTCGGCATTTGCTAATATTAGAATCAATATTTTTTGTAATTAAATGTAGGCTGTGACAGCGCGTATCGGCAAAATCAAATCAAAGGCCGAACCCGCGCTACATTTATTAGATGCCTGCAAATTGTTACGAATGGAAAGAGACAAAGAACGCGATCTAATGTCGCAGAAGGAGCAAGAGGAAGACACTATCTCTGACTTACAAGTATATTTTATATAAAAAATATCTTCTGAAAATGTAACTCATGGCTAAATGCTTCTATTCTCTATGTGATCTTATTTTTATTATATTCAGAATTCCCTTCAACGAGTCGAACGTGAATTATATACTTTGAAATGCGACAGTACCGGACTCACATCACAAATATTAATCCAACATCTGACAGAGGAAGTAACAGTACAATCTGCAATTGTAAAAGAGAAGCTTCCATCCGAGTTAAATGCAAAAAAGAATCGGATGAGAGCGTTGTCGATAGTCAAAGAATATTCTTATTTGGGCCCGGATAAAATTATGACCATGAGAAATAATTTAGATGCGATATTAAAAGACATACAAGATTTAGTGGAATCCAAAGTGAGTATGCATAAAAAATGAAATCGTACATATTTGAATACGAGGAATGATTTGTTTATAATAATACATTGTACGGTTATATTTATTTCTTGCAAACATTTAATTTTTAAATCCACAATAGTGAAATAAAGCCTATGCGAGCCACCACGGATGTTGGTGTGTAATAATTTTTACAATATCCAGCCACACGCAAACTGCGCGCCGCATATTCGTCGCTCTTGAAACACGTACAGTTCATTACATGAAACCAGAATCCATTTGTAACAATTAAAAACCGACGAATATGCGGCGCGCAATTTGCGTGTGGCTGGATATTGTAAAAATTATTATACACCAATATCCATGTTGGCTCGCATAGGCTTTATATATTTCACTATTGTGTATTTATTTTTGAGCCCTAATTCCGTTAAATGTATTTAATTTTTAGATATCTAAAAATGATATCGATAAAATGGGACCATTTAGACAACAAGCTGCCGCTGTCGGAAATATGAAACGGAATGCTCTTGAACGTTTAGAAAAAATCGAAAGTTCTCTAGAAGAATTACAATCACGATTAAAAGAGAAACAGGATTATTCAAAAAATTTATTGGAAACCTCAATACCTAGAGCAGAGGAATTAAAAAAATATATTAATCGTTTGAAGACTAAGAGTACATTGTATAAGCGTTGCAAAACGGAAATAGCGGGACTAAAAGCAGAAGGTGGTGTGCTTCATCGAACAGCAACTATTCTAGATGGACAGGTATTGGAATAAGATTGAAGATTGGTGCAATCTTCTGAAATTAGATCGATATAATGAATATATATAATGCGCCTTGTATTATGATTTCAGATAACTCATTCTTACTCAGTGAATATCGCGTCTAAAGTAATAATTCCAGAAAATTATGTGCTAGATAACGCATTAACGACAAATACTCAATTGTCTCATTCGATATTGGCTCTGCTAACCAATCTTGCCCCGGTCATAAAAGGTAATAACATAATTCCAATAAACAAAATGTTAGCAGACTGGTAGCGAATTTGATTAAAATGTTGAGAGATATGGACATTCATCAATTGCGTTCATATTCAGTTTATACTCTGCAGGACTTGCTCACATATAATTAGGCAGCAAGTTGGTGGTAGAAACCGAGTAAGATTAATTGTACCCATGGGCTGACAACAAACCGACAAACTGTATGGAAATCGAGTTAGAGCTGGAAATCCTGTTCAGTTTCTGCTAGCAAAACATGTTAGCAAGTTGTGTCATATATATTTCTTGCGATAGTTTGCCGATATTGTCAGATATTATAGATTTTGTGTAAAATTGGTTACTTTTCTGCCAACAAAAATTGGTAGCATATTCTGCTCAAAATCTGTCTTTGTAGGCTGAGAAGTATTTTTTACAAAACTAAATAATGTTTATTTGCATTGTCAAATCTTAGATTTCTTTCATAGAATTATTATTAGGTATTTTATTTCTTTTATATACACATTAATACATAGAAATATTGGGTTAGAAAATAAGTTCGTTCGGTTTTGGCTTCAGTGTAAGTTTATTCCTGATTTACTCTTTTTTTTCTCGGCGCTATTGCACAACTTGAATGTGCATTTGTTTTACACAATCTGTCTGTGAATTTTGGTGTGGCTAACTTCAGTATTGTTGCGTACTGCATACCTGTGAAAATGGAAATAAATAACGTGCATTATTGTCATACATTTTGATCTATTATATATAAAAAAAAATTTGCAGAGATTCATAAAAAGATATACAGTGTATATGTTTATGATGGTTTAACAGCGCACATACCGAAAGTGGTTTACCAAATTCCATAGAAAGATGGCGACCGAATTTTGCACATTGTGTGCGTGCAGGCGTGTGTAAACATGCACACGTACGCATATGATGTGCAAAATCCGATCGCCAGTCTCCCTATGCTGCACATCTGGTAATGCCGACCATACATGAAAAAAATACAAGGGTTACTTTAAAATGCTGTAACTTTGTAAAAAAAATCGTAGCGACTTGTTTTTTTTAAATTAAAAAGAAAGGTTCAAACTTTATGATGCTGCAAATCGCATGCACGAGAAAAATTTTAGTAAGTTCGTGCATTCCGTCAATCTTTGCAATTTTCAGTATGGCAAACATGTTCTCAGATTTAAGAGTTTACAGTAGCAAGAGTGCATCAAATTTAAAATCGACCCACAGTATCTTAAAGTAGATTTCAAGCTTTCATTTGAAAAAAGTTCATCATCCTACGATGATTTTTCGCGGAGTTACCGTTAGCTAAATTTTTGCCCAAAATTTTTCTATGCCCTAATTTTTTTAAGCAGTATATTTCAGCAAATGATTTAAATATTTGAATAATATGGTCTGGATATACAGAAGATTCGGATAAAATTTTGTTCTATATGCATTTAATCGAATATTCGGATTTGTATAAAAATTACGGTAGCTTGTATAACGTGGCGAATCATTTTTATACATATAATGTATAACATATATTACGTGTAATGAAAAACAATTCCTAACATATGATATGTAACTTGAGTTAGGAAATTTAGTCTTAAACTTGAAACTTTTAATAAAATAAGTTAAATTTTTGTTTAAACTTATTTTTTAAATAAAAATTTGATTGTTAAAAACTTTTATAAAAGTTCAAATTTACAAATATTTTCATGTACATTCACGTACAATCCATACGGTAGCAGAACAGAAATATCTTTTGCATTATATAGGGATTTACTATAGATTTATTATTTATAGTAATTATGCATATCTTATGTAGATATGAAAACATTACGACAAATAGCACGTGAGACTGATGAGAGATATCAAAAAGCATGTAAAAGTCATAACACAGTAGAAATGAGCATGAAAAGTACAACAAGTGATTTATTATCCGAAACTAAACGCCTAAAGAATAAATTATTACAGGTAAAATTTATATCTAGAGAATATATATTGCTCATGTTAAAATAATAATGTGTTTTGTATTGTAGGATACTAAGAATAAGAAACAATTACAACAAAAAATTGCAAAAATAAAGATTATTGAAGAAAAACTAAATAATGAAGCAAAAGTAAATATAAATAAAGTTTTTGAAATAATATTTATCGTTATATTTAATACACTACAGCAATATTTGTTTCTTTTAGATCAACAATAGTTCCAATAATATAGGACAAACATTAAAACGAGAATTACATAATATGATTATGACAGAAGAAGAAACTTTAAAAAATTTAAACAAGGAACAAGAAAAAATAAAAGAACACACTGTACAATATGAAAATAAAACACAACAATGGAATAATATCATATCGTAAGTAATAGTATCTTCTACAAACTTACTTTTTTAAAAAAGGTAAAAAAAAGACATCAAATATAATTGTATTCATCGATCAAAAAATTATTGTAGGAAGTCAAGAAATAAAAACCTAAGTGATGCTATTTTTTTTTTTTACAAAAATATGATCTAATTGATACGTATTTGTGTATCCTCATTGGAAAGGTTTTCCTATTTTAATTCAAATAGATAGTAGCTTTAATTCTTTTTAAAAAAATTATATCACAAAATTGCGTTATCTAATTCAATCCAAGTGATATGTATAAAAAATTTGTATAAAAAATTTGATATCAATAAGAAAAAAGATTTTCCTTATTGCCAAAACGGCCAAGAAATGAGTAATAATGGATTTATAAACAAATAAATAAAAATAATATTTTTTAATGTCAAATCATAAAAACGTTTTGTACTTTACAGAGTCTTCATTAGTTTATAGAATAAATAATTAAACATTGAAATTAAATAAGTACTGAATTAAAG